GCGTTTTTTGAACTTTTTTGTTGCGCTACACGTACACACAGTGCGCTGTTCGGTCAGCAACGTCTCATCGTGGCGGCTTTGCACTCAAATATGACGAGTGCTTACACCAGAGACTTGTAACTGATTGATTTCACTACATACTCACCGAAAATTGCCTCATATCAACTGCAAACTTGCCGCATATCAATAATATTCACCGCATATTCACCGCATATTTACCGCAAATTACGCCATATTATGCCGCGTTTTTTTGCGATTTTTTTCCGCGATTTTCCCCGGGGACAGCTACATGTAGGCAATCAGCAGACAACTGAAGATGCGTGGTGCTCTGTGTCTTCTGTGCAAGGTACTGTAAAGGCAGAAACTTTCGGTATTCTCCAAAATCGGCGCTTCGGTGGAGGGAAATTTTCGGTAAACCCGTTTTCCAGGTAAGTGTACTAGTACTAGTACCGAAATTTCGGTGCGTTTTATTTTAGGTATTGAAAAATTGTCGGCACCGAAGTTACCGAAAATAAAACACCACTGAAAATTTCTGCTTTGCAGCTCAGCTCGAATGGACGTTGAGCACTCTCCCGAGCCGGAGGACTCTCATTTCCAACGTACATGTGCACAGGTCAGCACCGGGATATTCTGCGTCACAGTGTGTGTCAATACATACTATTGACTGGGCTGGGGAAAGTACCGTATCTTCCGGAGTATAAGGCGCACTTTGCACTCTCAAAATTCACCCAAAAGAATGGGTGTGCGGTTTTAATACACTCCGATGATCAAATTAATGATGATAAATTGGGTAGATGTCTGTATTTCGTGGCAAAAAAATGGGCGGGGGGGGGGGGGGTGCGGCTTATACTCCGGAAAATATGGTATTCCCTGACAAAAATAAAAAATAATTATAATATTCAAAGGATCAATTGGGGAAGTGAACTGCCTGAAAAGAGAAAAAATCCCAATTGATCCTTTGAATTTGAAGTTCTCCCAATCCTTTCAAAATTATAATATTCATCTAAATTTACGCTTTCCGCGAGAGTCAATATCACACTGATATTTCCACATCCGCAGCAACACTGCCAGCGTATCGCCAACGATCATGACCAACCATTCCATCCATGGCTATATTGAAATACATAATAATTTTGTCTCTGTCGATTATTTCTTACCTTTTGCGTGGGCATGGTGGCCAGCGAGATGGAGAGGCAATACAAACTGTTTTGCAACGCACCGTCCCGTTGTACGTATAGCTTGTTCTGCAGAACTAATAATTATAGTTATGATTCCAAACTAGACCGCCATATCGCCAGGTACACGCACGCATTGAGTGAATTCAATTGCCACGAAACGTACAGAATGTGTCAGATTATAGATGCGCATATCTACAATCAAAAAAGCTTTCAAATTTTTCAATTCAAAATCAAAATGAATGAAAACAAGAAGTCGACGTCACTGGTCACAGTGGTCAGTCGTCATGTAGACGTCATGTCGACGTCAGTCCTGGCATGTTACATCATCATCAGGGGAAGTACGTAGTTTCGAGAAATCACTCAACGACGTCGCCGTTACGTTTTACTAGAGAGGTTCCGGGGTACGATTTTCCGTGCCAAAATCCGTATGGGCGCTACGGATTTTTTCCAGGCGTGCTCCATACGATTTTTCGGCACGAGAATCCGTGTGGACAGGCTTTCATACGAACCATGCTTCGTATGGAGATTTTGCGTCATCGGGTGCAGAAAGATTTTTCGCGTACAAATTTGGTACGAGAAACATCGATTTTTCGCGGGAAGTTTTGATTTCGGTACAAATTTTCAAAATAAAAAGGCATAGCGCGGGAATGTGACGTGTTTGCGATCGTAACCTAGGCAATGACGGCAAACACATAAGTTCCGTACCCCGGAACTTTTCACTGCTCGAAAACGACGTATAAAAAATCCGTAGAGCCTCCACGGATTTTGGCACGAAAAATCGTACTCCGGAACCTCCCTACTACAAGTACAACCAAGAGTAGATAAACAGTTGTTTATCTACTCTTGGTACAACCAAGAGTTCATAACCCCAGGGGGTTATGAACTCTTGGTACAACCCCTGTAGCTGGCCCGGAAGTAGTTTCCAGGCCGTCAGGGACTGAGCCTCCTATCCCATGCATCCCACCAAGAGTACATAACCCCACTCTTGATCCCACCGCTACACCATTGGCATTGTCTTCCAGTAAATAAAAAAAAGTGTACTAAAGTACTAGTAACTTTGAACCGGGGACCAAGTATACCGTGGCAGCCAACAGGCTTCCAACTTGGAAGGTTCTAACTTCTGAGTTAGTTACATTCAATGATTGTATACTTAAAACATACGGGTAGGATGGGGAAGGTGAGCGCAACCAAGACAAGCACAAGCTGAAGGTGAATCAAGCTGAAAGTTTCAGCTGCACGGTGAAGGATGTTGGCCGGGATGTCCCGTGCATGTCGATGACGACACCGGACAATACCCGGCATTAGACAAAACGGTCAAAGCACGATTCAAGGACGCATAGCAAATTTAAATAATAATAAGGCCAAAACAAAAAATAGGCTTTTTTCCGGTCGGCAACCCCTCAAAAAGGAGACTCGGTCGGCCGGAATGAAACTTTTTTTGGATACTTTTTTTGGTTCCTCAATCGTTGTGGTATTGATGGACAAGAGCACCTACACATGTACATTGTACATTATATGTAACATACATTATCACTCCCCCTCACGTGACCGCGGACTCCTGCATATACACTCACACAATAACCACACAACTGTTTGGGGATAGCGCGCTTATTGTATTATGCCAAACTTGACACGCTGAGTCCAGCTTGACTCAGCTGAGTCCCTAACTGCAATTTACTGCTCTAACATGAAGCCGTGCCTGGAAGAAGGGAAAGAGCGAAAAAAGAAAAAAAAATTCTGGCCTTCTGCAAGCAATAGCAAGTAATGAGTGACGGCTGTGTAAAGTCGCACAACCATGCAGTCGACCGGATGATGGTGAGTGTCCGGCACACATCTTGCTCTGCTGCTCCACCTGCGCATACCTGATACGGTGGTGCGCTTACGGGCGGGCTGCCTGGGCCCCAGATGCCTCCTTGATGCGCCACGGAGTGCCGTCGAAGCACCTGTATCACTTCGGTGATCCAAATGCGAATGCAGCCTTGCCGGTCGCCCGCCGGCCTGCCGCCTACGCGACCAGCCTGAGACTGGCCCTGCCGCATTTGGCGCTTCTAAACGCTGCGATCCGGTAGACAGCTCACTGGGCTGCCAAATACGTGACTGGCTTGAGGACAGTTCCATACTGGGCAGGGCGCCCAGCTCAGGTCGCACGCCGTAGCGGCGTGAGCTGGGCGCGGTGAGGGTTGGTGATAACTACAGTTTCCTCCTTCCTCCTCCGGAAACTTCCATTTATCACTCCCCCTCACGTGACCGCGGACTCCTGCATATACACTCACACAATAACCACACAACTGTTTGGGGATAGCGCGCTTATTGTATTATGCCAAACTTGACACGCTGAGTCCAGCTTGACTCAGCTGAGTCCCTAACTGCAATTTACTGCTCTAACATGAAGCCGTGCCTCCCAAAAATAATGGGGGTGGCCTCGCCGCACGCTATCCCCTATTCTTGGTCCCGTCGATCTCTGTGCTGTTCGCTGTAGACCTGTTATGGCATGCCTGATTCGGTATGCAGTGAAACCAGTAGCTAAAGACCACCGTGACCAGCAACCAGTCTGGTACTACCGACCACTTCGCCGGGCACGGACGGTCTCACATTCATAATGGTTGTGCGGTGCAAGCCTGCAGCCAAGGACCACCTGCCACTAAGGACCGCTTTCTCTGGCTTAAATGGGTGGTCGTTAGCCACAGGCTCAACCGCACATGTATCTCTTGCGGGTCAACCCTGACCACCTTCCGGCGGCCTGGAGCTGCCGTCCGGGCACCTTCCTGGCCGCCAGATCCTGTGTCAGCTTGAGGGCGTCTACCAAGGGCATTGCCATGAAGGACTGCTAGGCTTTCCCCTGGTTGGTAGCTCCTGCTGGTGCTGGGCACTACTGAATACGCTGACGACTTGTCAGCTTCCGCGGGTAGTGTTCGCACGGGGGGATACCTGGGCGCCCCAAGCCGGGCAGACAACAGCCGAAGGGCTGTGGTGTTGGATACAAGTGTGACTAGCTACCCGCCTGGTACTATGGACACCTTCGCCGGTCACGGACGGTCTCACATTCATAGTTTGCGGTGCAAGCCTCCAACTAAGGACCACCTGCCCCTCAAGACCGCTTTCTCTGGCCCCAAGGGGTGGCCGCTTCGTCAAAGGCTCCACCGCACATGCATCTCTTGCGGGTCAACCCCGACCACCTTCCGGTGACCTAGAGCTGCCGTCCGGGCCCCTTCCTGGTGGCCAGATCCTGTGTCAGCTTGAGGGGGTCTACCAAGGGAATTGCCATGAAGGACTGCTAGGCTTTCCCCTGATTGGTAGGTCCTGCTGGTGCTGGGCACTACTGAATACGCCGTCACAACTTTTCCGCTTCCACGGGTGGTGTTCGCACGAGGGGGATGCCTGGGTGCCCCCCGCAGAGCCGACAACAGAGCCAAAGGGTTGGCGCGTCATATACAATTATTAGTTTCTCAGTTATTCTTGTATTTTGCCTCTTTAATAGGTCGATGACGGCTTCCCGCCCGCCGATCGTCCAAAAAAAATATGGGGTGAGGCCCCTATCCTGCAACAGGCAATAAATGTGGCCGGGAGTATGCGCTAAGGGCCAGTCAGGACCTGCTGGGTGCCCGAGCTACGGTGCTAACAAGCAAATGCGAACAAGCAAGCTCGAAAGGAGATCTTCGGTTGCACTCCCCATCTCAGCTGCAAACAAACCATGCTCCGAGGGAGAGCTGCCCCTGCATTTTGCAAGCCTAGCTGTAAATATACAAAGCTCCAAGGGGAAATGCCCCTGCATTTTGCAAACATAGCTGTACACATCCAATGCTCCCAGGGGAGCTGCCCCTGCATTTTGCAAACATAGCTGTAAACTTCCAAGGCTCCAAGGGGAGCTGCCCCTGCATTTTGCAAGCATAGCTATAAACATCCAAAGCTCAGGGGAGCTACCCCTGCGTTTTGCAAACCTAGCTGTAAACCAACAAAGCTCAAAGGGAAGCTGTCCCTGCATTTTGCACACATAGTTGTAAGCATCCAAGGCTCCAAGGGGGGCTGACCCTGCATTTGCAAACATAGCTGTAAACATCCAAAGCTCCCAGGGGAGCTGCCCCTGCATTTTGCGACCACACCTGTAAACATCCAACTTCAAAAGCTACCAGGGGAACTGCCCCTGCAGTTTGCAAGCATAGCTGTAAACATCCAAAGCTCCAAAGGGGAGCTACCCCTGCGTTTTGCAAACCTAGCAGTAAACCTACGAAGCTCAAAGGGGAGCTGCCCCTGCATTTTGCAAACATAGTTGTAAACGTAGAACTAGAAGGCTCCAAAGGGAGCTGCCCCTGTATTTGCAAATATAGCTGTAAACATCCAAAGTTCCAAGGGGAGCTGCCCCTGCATTTGGCAAACCTAGCTGTAAACCTACAACGCTCTGAGGGGAGCTACCCCTGCATTTTGCAAACCTGGCTGTAAACATCCTAGCCCCAAGGGGAACTGCCCCTGCATTTAGCCAACATAGTGGTAAACATCCAAAGTTTCAAGGAGTGCTGCCCCTGCATTTTGTCCGCACAGCTGTAAACTAGTTTTAAAAGCTCCAAGGGGAGCTGCCCCTGCATTTTGCAAACATAGCTGTAAACATCCAAAGCTCCAAGGGGAGCTGTCCCTGCATTTTGTCGCGTAGCTGTCAACTAGCTAAAGCTCCAAGGAGAGCTACCCCTGCATTTTGCAAACGTGGCCGTAAACATACCCAGCTCCAAGCCCTTTTTTTTGTTTCTTCCTCGCAAACATAGCTGTAAACATACCACGCACTAAGGGGAGCTGCCCCTGCTTTCTGCAAGCATCGCTGTAAACGATTACATACAAGGCTCGGAGGGGAGTTGCCCCTGCTTTTTGCAAACATAACTGTACCAGGCCCCAAGGGGAGCTGCCCCTGAATCTTGCAAACATAGCTGTGAACATACAAAGCTCAAAGGGGAGCGGCCCCTGCGTTTTGCAAACATAGCCGCAGCGCCGGGCATAACGCCACCCAGGCGAGGCGCGCTGCCCCTGCCTTGACCAATGCCGCCGCAAACAACACGCGCAAAGGGGCGCTGCCCCTGCATTTGCTCGCATAGCCGCCGTATCAGACCGCCGGGTCAGCCGCCATATCAGACCGCTGGGTCAGCCGCCATATCAGACCGCTGGGTCAGCCGCCATATCAGACCGCTGGGTCAGCCGCCATATCAGACCGCTGGGTCAGCCGCCGCCATATCAGACCGCTGGGTCAGCCGCCATATCAGACCGCCGGGTCAGTTGCCATATCGGACCGCTGGGCCAACTGCCATGTCGGGCCGCCGGGTCAACCGCCGCATGGGCTAGGGGCGCTGCCCCTGCCTCTGCCGCCGCCACAAACAGAGCTCAAAAGGGAACCACCCCTGCATTTGCTCGCAACGCCGCCGTATCAGGCCGCCGGGTATTCCGCCGCATGGGCGATTACGTAGGGGAATCGCCCCTGCCTCCGCTAGTACAACTGAATAAGCAGCATGGGCCACTCGCCCTGCCCGCCGGGTGCGCATAATGTGTGAGTGTGTGTGTGTGTGTGTAACGCACATACGCGTGTCTGCAATATGCCCTGCGTGGTCGTGACGGATTAATCCGTCGCACCTCGGGTAAAGTGTTAATTACTGAAAGTAAAACAAGGTCGCCAGCCCGCCAACACCGGCACGTACTGCCGGCTCGCCGTGGTACCTAAACAACAATGGCAACAGCGACGACAGCCGCAAGGAAAAAGATAGCAGCTTGCCATGTCCAAACAAAGCCCCAAAACAGCAAAGTAGACCCCACATGCTGAGACTTGGTGTAATGCCGCCTAGTACGAGTAGGAAGGGGAGGGGAGCGACAGCACTTAGAGGCGAAGCAGGGCGAGGGATGGAGGAGAGGAGGATAAAGAGAGAGAGAGAGAGTATGTGTGTGTGTGTATGTATGTATGTATGTATGTATGTATGTATGTATGTATGTATGTATGTATGTATGTATGTATGTATGCGTGTGTGTGTGTGTGCGCTTGCGTGCTTACCCATGTGTGCTGAGAGAGATAGACTACACAGCGAATGAAAAAGGAGGCACGCATTGGTTGAGAAGAAGTTCAGCCGGTTTGCTGCCATGATTAGTTGCTCCCGCATAGCATGAGTTCGGGACTAAGCCGAGTCCAGCAGCTGGATTAGGGAGCCGATGAGAGGAAATGGACTAATCGTCCGCGTGAAAGAGCGTCTGCAGCGGAGTTGTCCGTGACCGTAATATGGGTAGTCAGCGAGATAAAGCCTTGTGTTCTGCTACCATGCGGGGGCTGAAGTGGGCTAGTTCCGTCACGGTTGGATTTCGGCAAGTCCCGGATTTCAGACTGCTCCAACTGCCTTTTTGTCGCCGTGCAGTATGAATTTCTTGTCGGACTACTTAGGGCCCCAGAGGGCGTAAGCTCGTGTTGCAAAGCGCGATGGTTCTGAAAGTCTGCCAGGCCTCGACCCAGTAGATTAGAGATTCAGTTTTTCTCTTGCCAGAAGAGGAGCCGCCAATGACAATTCCATTCAGTGATTGCCATCGGATTGATCGATTCTAACACGTTTGGCTGCTGGCTGCGTGTGGGCAGGACAGGAAGGAAGCATTGTGGCCAGCTCGAAGTATTCCGCACGCCGTATTGTCCTAATCGTCTCCTGTGCGCCAACACATGCGCCGGCCGGCATCATAGCGCCTCCAAGGAACTCAACTAAACTGGTCATACACGACAGTGTCCATGCCTGCATTTTCGGCCGGCATGCTCATCGCCCGAGGCTTGTTGGTCAGGGCCGACGCTGCCGTCGCCGCGGTCTCAAACGAGGAATACCAGCGATCCGCTGCTGAGTAGGATCCATGCTCAGGTACGGGTATAAACCATGTAAACCAACTAGCTTTAGAGCAAACGAGAGCAAAAAAATTCTGGCCTTCTGCAAGCAATAGCAAGTAATGAGTGACGGCTGTGTAAAGTCGCACAACCATGCAGTCGACCGGATGATGGTGAGTGTCCGGCACACATCTTGCTCTGCTGCTCCACCTGCGCATACCTGATACGGTGGTGCGCTTACGGGCGGGCTGCCTGGGCCCCAGATGCCTCCTTGATGCGCCACGGAGTGCCGTCGAAGCACCTGTATCACTTCGGTGATCCAAATGCGAATGCAGCCTTGCCGGTCGCCCGCCGGCCTGCCGCCTACGCGACCAGCCTGAGACTGGCCCTGCCGCATTTGGCGCTTCTAAACGCTGCGATCCGGTAGACAGCTCACTGGGCTGCCAAATACGTGACTGGCTTGAGGACAGTTCCATACTGGGCAGGGCGCCCAGCTCAGGTCGCACGCCGTAGCGGCGTGAGCTGGGCGCGGTGAGGGTTGGTGATAACTACAGTTTCCTCCTTCCTCCTCCGGAAACTTCCATTTGTATATCATGGCAAGGATCAATATCAAAGTTGACTGACTAACTGTTCTTGTAGAGCTTATGGTGTATTCCTGTTTTCGTACATCCTGAGAAATCAAGCAAACAGTTCGAGTCCTTCCAGCTCCGTTATTCTAGCTCGTATCGACCCCGGAGGTTTTCGAGCCGATATCTGAGAATCTCTGCTACCTTGTAGGTGTTTCGATTGTGGAATTCGGTTGAGATTTGACTGAGTTATGACTCGTTGAGTGCACTCGCATACATGGCATTGCCATCGTTTGTATACATTTGGGACCAAAAAAAGTTTCAGAATTTGGGAAAAAGTGGCCCGGTCGGGCGACCGGAAACAAGGTCATTATTTGTTTTGGCCTAATAATAATAATAATAATAATAATAGCAACATACCACGCAACTTGCGTGGCTCTAAAGATGCAAGGACAAACTGCAAAGATAAAGTGAAGGGAAAGCTCAGTACTACCGGTAGTAACGTTATGTACAGTGAAACCTGTCTAAGACGACCGCTCATGGGACCTTCAAAATGCGTCTCTGTTACCAGGTGGTCCCCTTATCCAGGGTCATTTGACTGGAAATACCGGTAGCGTCCCTTGATCCTGGTTTCAGTGCCATGGTCTTCTTGGACAGGTGGTCGCCTTATCCGAGTGGTCGCGTTGACAGGTTTTACTGCACTAGTAGAGAACGCTGATAATAGTATCAAGAGTACATAGCCCCCAGGGGTTATCAGGTTATGTACTCTTGATAATAATACTCAACTCGGATGGTGAGCCAACTAAATTATGGTGAAAAGGAGAAGGACAAACTGTTACGAGTAACTGTCCACCAACTCATCAACTCGCCGGATGGTGAGCCAACTAAATTATGGTGAAAAAGGAGAAGGACAAACTGTTACGAATTATATGACTAACTGTCCACCAACGTAACCAGATCTTGTCAGTTTTGTGCCATTTTGTCGCACTCGCGGACTGTGTAAGATCTGGTTACGTTCGTGGACAGTTAGTCATAACTCGTAACATTTTGTCCTTCTCCTTTTTCACCATAATAATACTATTTTTTAAACTTTATTGGGATGACCCAAAGGCTGACCGCCGCTCTCATTAGGTACCGCGCTTTGCTTCCTTGTTTTGCACTGCTATTTTTTTCCATGTCCACCTCATTCCTGATGATGGTCATGAAGACCGAGACGTTGAAACGATACTTCTAATGGATTTGTGTGAAATGCAGTGCTCTCTTGATTGTCGGCTAGGCATTGGCGGATAATGCTCGAAAAGGTGGCAGATTCTGCTCGAAAAGCAGTGAAATTGGCAGAACCATACAAACCTTATGGCGAGCAATTCCTCGAATTCTGATCCATTTCTTTATCCACATACCAAACATGCATGAAACTTACCAGACAAGTTCCGAAT